CATGTATTTTTAAGTTTCTTTTTCCCTCTGTATAATAGCGTTTTTTTTTTAATTGAAAAAGGATTTAAACACCTTAGAAGACTTTAGAATGTTCTGGGTGACATTCACATTGCAAAAGCACTTACCAGCACTTACGTTCCTTGACAAAACAGGAAGTGGGTCGGTCTCTTGCTCCGGTTTGATGAGGATGGAGACGGCAGACGAGGCAGTTATCTCCCTGAGAAGGCTGCTGACACCTTGAGTGGATTCCTTCAGTAACGAGGTGACGTTTTGCGTCGATTCCTTGAGCAGATCAGATACTGTGGGTATACATTTGCTCTGCCCATTTAAATCCTTGTTATCAATGTTGATTGCAAAAAGGATGGAGTTCAGACCTTCAGACAAAAGAAAGGAAAAAAGTAGACTGAAAAACCCACTATATACTCCAGAAAAAGGTACATTGATAGAGTTTAAAGATACAATATAGACATATGACAAAAACATTTGTCCAATTTTTTTTCCTACAGTTCTCTATATTTTAAGAGTGAAATTAATGAAAGAATTTTATTCTTTCATGTACCGTTCACTCTTTGTTAGATACTATTCAAGCTGCTGCAATCAGTTCTGAATTTATTTTGATGGCTGTACAGCTGACTAACATTAAATATGCAATAAGGACTGTGAACCGATTTATTTATAACCTGATATTTAAATCCATTTCACTGCAACTTTGGCAGTTCTTATAGCCTATAAAACACTTTTTGAATAGTCAGTTCTTAAATCATATTAAAAAAGACAGAAAGAAAGAAAGAATTCTATTTTCATAACAAACCATGTATCCAAGAGACCTAGGTGTAAACAGCAATACTGCAGCACTTCTGTGGTCACACTTCAGAAAAATAAGTCATCTCTGTTACTGTTCCTGACTCTTAATTCTCCCACATACGTACTTCATATGTCCTTTTCTTGTTAGAAGCAACTCTGTTTATTTTAATAGACATAGTTCAAAAAAAGTTAGCCTTGACTCTTGACTCAGTTTGCTTTTATTTGCAGAAGACTTTTCAGCAACAGCGGACAGGCAAGATCTTGTAATTTGACAGTACACCAATTCATAACACAGAGTGGTGTAATACCCTAGACTGCATCCCCTCCAACACCTGACATGTAACACACACGGTCTACATAAGCCAACAGTGCATTTCAGTAGTTTTTCCCACAAGCAAGAACAGAAAAAACATGTCAAAATAGTTTTCCCAGAACAGTAGCATTTAAGTCAGTCCTACCAGCTGCCATTGTAGGAATCATACTGGAACGTTCTTCATCCATCATAAAAGACCAGTCTTCATAGAAGACACTACAAATTGAAAGGTAAACACTTAGAATATACAGCCTATATCAATGCATATTCCACTGTAAATGACTTCAAATGTAAACAAGCTTTAGGACATCAATGGATATAATTCTGTAGTCCTGCAATATGTGGAAAGTCTGAATAGTTGTATCAGACAAGATAAAATAGCAAAGGTTAAAGAAAATTTTGTTTATTTGCATAAGTGAAAAGTACACGAGAATTACTCAAGCAACAATTTATCTTCAGTTGTGCATGCTCTGTCTTTCTACAGAGAAAGAAGTCAATGCAGGCAATGAGGGCTACGTTACAATAACAGGCACAATTACCTCTCCGTACCTAATTTTAGATGACTGCACTTGACCCTCATTATCAAGCCATTATCAAGTCATTTTACAAAACATTAAAATGCATGGCTACAAGCAAACAACAACACTTGATACAGTGATATATTTCAATACTCAAAAGCAAATCATTAATTACCTTAAACCAAGTCAGTTAGGAGTTTGGACGCAGTCAGTTAAAAAAAAAAAA